AGAACAAATGTAAGTATTCTTTAAAATATTGAATTACTAGTTATTTTCTATGCCTGGAGGTACGAAGTAATAAAAAAAATAATCAACAATAAACATATTTATATTCAAACCAAAAATTACATCATAAAAAAAAAAAAAAAATTAAGCAGCGATTGTAGTGGGGGGTGAGCGGTGATAGTGGTGGTGGGTGGCAATTGTGGTTGTGGTGGAAAATAGTGATGATTATAGTGAGTGGCGATAACCGTGGTAGTGGTGGCAACCGTGAGTCGCAACAGTGATGGTGGTGGTGAATTTTGGTTGACGATGGTTATAATGATAGTCGTGGGTGAAGGTAGTTGTGGTGGTGGGTATGGGTGATGCAGGGGCGGCTTAAGAAAATTTGAGGCTTAAAGCGATATTTATAAATTAAACTTTTTTTTAATTGTTTATATCGTTCATTCCCCTATTCTTTTTTGTGATATTGTCGACCTTAATAAGACTTTATTAATTTTAAATTATTCATTACTAATTTTTTTTCATTTTTTTTTATATTTTGAATTCAAGATAGGTGTTTTGCATGTTTAATTCTCATAGTGAATATTTTTTTTTATCATTTTGTTGTATTATTTTATTATTTTTTATTCTTTGAGATCTATTAATTGTTTTGTTTGCAGAACTTTAACCTATTTTTCTATGACATTTTGTTTAGTAGTAAGAATAAATAGATCATTTTGAGATTCAATTATTTTAAAATTTTTATTTTTAAGAAATAAATTTCATATCCAAATGATTATTTTCTAGTTCCATATTTATAATACATAATCAACAAATTAGTTCTAAATAATCATATGGTATCTATAATTACATAATATATCATTAGCTTAAAATTATAAAAAAAAATACAGTTTGATTTGTTACGGTTATTTACAACATTAAAATTTGATATTTTATTTCTTTGTTGATCAAAGTTTGTAAAATAAGTGGTTTATAGTATGTGAGTTTGGTTTGATGTATTATTTAAAATAAAAATTTGTGTGTCTGTGAGAGAGAGATTGAGTTTTGTTTTTGTTTAATTAGAGACTTAAGAGTGTGAATGTGTGTGTGTGAGAGAGAGAGGAGAGTTTTGCTTTTACATTTTTTGTTTTACTGCATTGAGTTTTGATCGTTGCAACAAAATGTGTGGACTATATTTTTGGACTCAACTATAGAATCTGAAATTTAGTTGTTTAGTATACACTTTATTGGGGATTTTTGTAGAATTTATATTGTTACATATTTAAAAATTTGGGCTCAATTACACTATGTATTAAAAAGGAAAATTTTGAGGCCGGTCCCCCCTATATGTACTTGTTTTGATTTAAGTCCGTCAAGGAAACTTATTTGTTATGAAGTCCGTTTTTNGAGGATTTTTGTAGAATTTATATTGTTACATATTTAAAAATTTGGGCTCAATTACACTATATATTAAAAAGGAAAATTTTGAGGCCGGTCCCCCTATATGTACTTGTTTTGATTTAAGTCCGTCAAGGAAACTTATTTGTTATGAAGTCCGTTTTTTGTCAATTTTATCATACTATCCATTTTTTTTAGAAGTGTAAAAAATTTAAAAATTAAAAACTCTTAAATGTTAGGAGTTTGACTAATATTAAAATCTTTTCTCTCTCATATCTATCTATATCTATATATAGGTTAAGAGTTTGACTAACATTAAAAAATTTCCTCTCTCTTATCTATCTATATATAGTAACATNTTATACTATCCATTTTTTTTAGAAGTGTAATAAAACTAAAAATTAAAAACTCTTAAATGTTAGGAGTTTGACTAACATTAAAATCTTTTCTCTCTCATATCTATCTATATCTATATATAGGTTAAGAGTTTGACTAACATTAAAAAATTTCCTCTCTCTTATCTATCTATATATAGTAACATTAAAAATAAAAAATATTAACATTCAAATATAAAAAAAATTTATCATCTGAACACAAAAAATAATACATTTAAACACAAAAAAATAGTAACATTTAAACATAAAAAAAAATTAAAACATTCAATATTAATATTTTTAAAAAATAACAACAGTAACATGTTCAACAAAAATATTAACATGTTTAACAAAAATAGTAACATGCTTAACAAAAACTATAACATACTTAACAATAATTATTTCTCTCAAATTCAAACACAAAAAATAGTACTATTCAAAAAAAATTGTAATATTCAAAAAAAAAATAGTAATATCGAATATTAATATTTAGGAAAATAATAGTAGTAACATGGTCAACAAAAATAGTAACATGCTAAAAAATNATTATAACATACTTAACAATAATTATTTCTCTCAAATTCAAACGCAAAAAATAGTATTATTCAAAAAAAAAATTGTAATATTCGAAAAAAAAATAGTAATATCGAATATTAATATTTAAGAAAATAATAATAGTAACATGGTCAACAAAAATAGTAACATGCTAAAAAATAATAGTACATGAAGAATAACATATTCAACAAAAACAGTAACATGAACAGTAACATAATAAAAAAAATAGTAATATAAATTTGAATTTTACTATTCAAATTCATAGTAACTTTTTTTTTGTATTTAAATATTAATATTTTTTTTAATGTTACTATATATATATATATATATAGATATAGATATAGATAAATAAGAGCAAGGGAAAATTTTAATGTTAGATAAATTCTTAACCTATATATAGATATAGATAGATATGAGAGAGAAAAGATTAACTTCTTTTTAAGGAATGATATTTTTGAGATAAAAAAAAAAAAGTGGACTTAAGTCATTACATATAATTTTAAATATGGACATAGCCCCTTNAGATATAGATAAATAAGAGAAAGGAAAAATTTTAATGTTAGATAAATTCTTAACCTATATATAGATATAGATAGATATGAGAGAGAAAAGATTAACTTCTTTTTAAGGAATGATATTTTTGAGATAAAAAAAAAAAAGTGGACTTAAGTCATTACATATAATTTTAAATATGGACATAGCCCCTTATAAGTTTCCTTACAGGACTTATCTCCAAACAAGTACATCTAGGAAAACTCACTTCCAATTTTCCCTATTAAAAAGTATAGAGCCTTATTGTTATTTGGGCCTAAAGCCCTCGTTTTTTTGACTATAATGTTGGGCCGACCCTGGGGTGATGGTGGTTGACAGTGGTAGTGATGCGACAACGACAGTAACGGGTGGTGACGACAGTGGTTGTGGACTACGATGGGTGCTTTTAGACGACAGTGTGATGGGTGGTGCTGAATAGCGGTGGTGGTGATAGGTGTGGTGGGAGTGAGTGACAGTGGGTGATGATGGTGAGAGACAGTGGTAATGGTAATAAATATACAAATGAGATGANGCGGTGACGATGGTGGTTGTGGACTACGATGGGTGCTTTTAGACGACAGTGTGATGGGTGGTGCT